ATAATGTTGTAGATTTCTTTGATGATTATATTAAATATATAATTAGCTATTTTTGATTTCTATCACTAGTTTGTTTTTTTTTAAGTTTTTTAAGATTCTATCTATGATTTTGTTTTTGTATTTTTTTTTCATTTTATCGAGAAAATTAGTCTGGTCTATTTATTAGATAAAAAATGATAATTACTTTTAAAATGAAATTACATCTTGTAGAATTTTTATTCTTTTTATTTTGTTCATATTATTTTAAACTATTAATTTTTTAAATTATTTTCAACTATATTATTTGAATTATTAATTTTATATTAATTTTATATTTTATAACATTTTTCTTAAATATTTTCGTATAAACATATACAAACATGAATGTATGATATGAAATAAATTTTTTATACTTGCTTATTATAAATTTTAATATTCTGTTTTATAATAGTGAAAATAGGTTTTTTTGCTGTTGTTTTTTATTTTATTTTTATTAGAAATATTTTTATTATTATTTTTAGATTGTAATTTTAAGTTGTATTTATTCTGTATCGTATACAAGTTTATACTATTTATTTATTTTTTTTATTTCATAATTTATTTTTATCAGATTAGCATTGATTTTTATAATATTAATTTTTATATGCAATCCTCTGATGATTATCTCCAATATATTCATATTAACATATTATATATTATAACTATAAAATGAACAATATTTTCATGCAATGATCAAGATTGTAACAATTGAGATTCTTGTAGATTTAACTACAGTATTATTTAATAATAAGATCCATGTAAATAGAAATTGATTTAATAATTAATTAATAATACAAAATGTAATTTCGTTATTTGAATTTATTTTTTCAGTAAGTAAGTTGCAAAAATTAAAGTATCTTTATTACTATATTTTATATTACTTTTTATTATTCTTTATTTGATTTATTTTTTTTAATCATTACTTTAACCATTATATAATTATTTTATAATTATTACTTTTTTGAAATTGTGTGATTTTTCACTATGTTTAGATTTTTTAATATCATTTCTTTGATTAGCTTTGCATTTTTAAGATTATAATTATTTATTGTAATATTATTACATATATTTATTATATATATTATTAATATTTATTATTATATTATATTATATATATATATTAATATATTATAAATATTTATTATTAACAATAATATAATTGACAATTATTTTAAATATTTGATAATATAAATTTTTATCAAATATAATTTTTTATCGATTATCAATACTCTTTGTTAATATTCTTGTTAATATATTTTGCAATATTTTTCTTTAAGTAAAAAGTATACTTGTTTATTAGTATTAAATATTATTGTTATAGTATTATTATTATAAGTACCTATTTGATTGTTTGAGATTAATTGCAACTGTATAATATCTTTTAAAATAATTATTTGTTACAGATCAAAAACTTTTACAAAAATTTAATCCTTTGATATTGGATAATACTAATTTCGTATCAAGACAACGAATATTACTCGCTGAAGTCGAAAGTGATAATGTAAGTAATAATATAAAATAATTACAGGAAATATCTATAATAAAATAAAAAGTAAAAAAAAATATTTTTTTCTTTAAAAAAAATATAAATTATATTTATATAAATAAAAATATTTATATAAATATCTAAAAGATTTTTAAAAAATTATGCAAAAACTATTTATTGTACAAATTAAGTAAATTTAATCATGAAAAATTGAATTAAAAAATTATTTATTATATAAATTAAATAAATTTAATGATGAATTAAAAATTAAATTTTAAATTGAATTTTTTATTTATTTTTATTGAAATACACATATGATGAATTTAAAAAAATTATTTTTTCATCAATTTGATGTGATTTGAATAATTTTTTTTTTATATATATACTTGGTATTCAATTTTAATTTTTGAATTATATATAAATGTTTTCATATTATTTATGTAATTAAATTGATCAATTTATTTAAAAAAAAAAAAACAAAATAGACATTCGAATATAGAGAATATAATATTTTTTTATTATATATATATTATATATGAATCATTTTTAAAGATTAAATCGAATAAAATGAAAATTATGAAAAACGAATTAATAAAAATTAATCATCATTATTCATTAATATCTTTTTGTTTAATAGATATTTCTTATTTTCTTCGAAATAAAAAATTTTTGTGCATATTTCAATGAAATTCATTTTGATTTATTTTAAAGAACAAAAATTAACATACAATATATATATATATATTATATAGTATATTAGTAATATATATATATACATATATGTTATATGTATGTTAATAAAATAGTTAGTAATTGCTCCAATCGGAAATGCAATGATTCTATATTAAATTGAAAATATAGAATAAAATTTTTTTATATGATGTTTTGTTTTTTAAGAAAATCGGCATTAAATATTCGCCGAATATATATACACTTCACTATCTTCACTTAACATATCTTGCTGTACAAACAAGATAGCTGGCTTACTAACGAGATACCTTAAATTAAGATATAATTTTACTTAAAAATTATTAATTATTAAAAATAGTAAATATTTAAAATAATAATTCTTAAGAATACTAAATATTTAAGTTATAATATAAGTTATGATATATAAAACATTTATTTATAGTATTAGCCAAATATTAGTTCGATTCATATCAATAATTCGCTATATTGCATTTAAAAATTTAATATGTATGATTCTTAGCATATCTATAATATTTTATATTATTTTAGAGTATTATTTATACGTAACAATTAGTTATTTTCAAAATTTTAAATCTTAATGAAATTAATTTTGAATATATGAAAATCATTATTTGCATTATTTAATCGAATTTATTTTTAAATAATAGTATAATTATTCAAATTATATTAAGTATAAATACATTATTATTATATTAAATATAAATTTTTCAAAATTATTCATTCAATTGAATAAAAATAATAATGAATAATAATTTATTCTATATATATATAGATAATATTATATAAATTAATAACAATGAATCAATTTATTATATATTAAATAAATATATTTTAAATATAACTTATATTAATTATATTATATTAAATATATAAAAATATATTTATTAAAATAATATTTATATATTTGTTAATGAATAAATAAATAAATAAATACTTATGAAATAGATATATTTGCGTAGATATATCTCTATAATTTAATAATAAAGAAATAAATAAATAATTCTATTAAACTTGTCTTTGAATTAAATTTAAGATAGATTTGATTTAATCTAAAAATAAATTAAGTTTGATTAAGTCATTTTAAGAGTATATAAAAGAATATAGGAAAAACAACAGAAGCTTTCTTCTTGTCATCTATTAAAATTCTAAACAAACATTAAATAATAATCAGTTATTATATAATAATTAATTAATATATAATAATGTTGTAATGATATTATAACAATATATGATAATTTCTTTATAGTAAATACAATAGAACCTTCATTATATGACATAATTGAACAATAAAATATTTTATTTAGAAAATGAAACAAAATAAATAGATTTTATTTATAAATAATTTTTATACATATAATATAAAATCAAAAAAATCAATATTAATCAATTCTTTTTTTTTTTTTTTTTTTTTTTTTTTT